CATACAATCTGCATGTCCAGAGGCAAAGTACTTACCCCTGAGGTCCTCCTTTTCCTGAGGGCAAGAAGACAGGCATTGAGACAGAAAGGTTAGCCCTACACTGAGCAAGCCTAGTCACACTCTACACATCTTTCCATGTCCAGTGTAGCCCCTATCCCTCCCCATAGGCTCCTCTGCTCCTTCAGCACATTGTGTAGTTAGTTATCATGAAAGTGCCTTCACCTACCTTGACTGTGAGCTCCTTGAGGACAGAGACCAGGTACATACCTTCAAACTTCAGGTTGGAGGTATTCAAGAAATATTTATTGGAAAAGTGTCGCCCTGGCCAGTTTGGCTCAGCGGTTAGAGCGTCGGCCTGTGGTCCGGAGAGACCCGGTTCAGTTCCCGCTAAGGGCACGTACTGTGGTTGCAGTTTGTCCCCGGCCCTGGTTGGTTGTGCGAGTGGCAGCCACTCGATGTGTCCCTTCACATCGATGTTTCTCACTCTCTCTCCCTTCCTCTCTCTCCCTCCCATTCTATCTGTACAAAAAATGGAAAAATATCCTCGGGTGAGGATAAAAAAAAAAGAAAAGAAAAGTGTCAACTATTTCTACTTTACACTGAGTGAGCTGTTTTTCACAATCACTTGAAGTGAAGAAGTGTGTTGGATGTGAAGGTGATCTGGCTGACATCTGTCACTCACTGATCCCTAGGGCTGATTGGGCTGATCTGGCTGGCTAGGCTGGTGTCCCCTTCCTCCTTTGTCACTGTAGGCTTTGTCGAAGGGGGCACCTTCCCCACGGAGGAGAGGACTGTCCTTCAGTCAAAGGTATACATGCGTAGCTGTGCTCCCTAGCTAAAACCTCCAAACAAGTTCCCAGGAAATGTGTTGAGGATGAGCACCTGTCCATACTAGAGCTTGAGGTTCTGTTCCATGTTAGGTTGATCCTAATCCTCCTATTCTGTCTTACTTGTTTTCTTATGGGAATAAATACTAACATGTGCCAACATGAAGAAATGGCCAGTTTGTGGCCATGGAATGGAGCTTTTTCTTAGCGCAAGGACAACTGTTCTATAATGTTTGCACCTTAATGACATGTTCTAATCAATTATGTTAATCAACCTAGATTTATTATTTTGTTCCCTGTATCCTGAGATTAGTGAACACCATTAACTGAGTTAACAAATAAATATTTTAAAGAGAAAAGTTTTTTCAAAAGCTTTGCCAAAAACTGTTGTCAATTGAATAATATGCTCACAATACAGCCAGCCCTCATTTCATGGTTAATCAGTTCCAGACTACTGTGATAGATGAATTTCCGCAAAGTAGGATTCTTTATTTATAAATCAAATATTTTCGCAGTTAGAGCATAGAAAACCTGTTTACAACCATCTAAATGCGTTTTTTAACATTATTAGAGCCCTCTAGACATGAAATAACACCCTTTAGTCACCATTACACTCATATTACCCAACATATTAGACAAAATAAGAGAAAAGACATATTAGACATTACAAATATCATATTATTATTATTGTACATTTAATTATACACACACACATAGCTCTTACACACAACCACTAACCTATGAAAATAGTGCAACTAGTTTGATGATGAAGCGATGAAGATGAAGAAATGTACTGTACAGCAAAGAAGAGCAAGGTTGCTCCTGGTGCATAGCAATGTAGACCCGTGTATGAGAGAAACAAACTTGCATGAGGCTGAGCCAATCAGTGGCCAGGATAAGAAGAGGATAAGATAGCCAATCAGTGAACAGCACATTCTAATTGGTTTGGTTTCACCACACCCGATTTTTTGGAAAAAAGTTATTGCCCACACACAAGGAGTGGTCAAGTGGTTGCACCTGACATTAAAGGATTCCTGGGGTGCTCAAATACATAAGCCTACAATCCTTACATACAGTAATTTTCGTTTTAATTGTAATACAGGGGTGTATAATTGACTCACACAACCAAGAGCACGCTATATCATTTTCACTGTCTCAATCAACTTTTTAATGAATATATTTGAAAAAACCGTGATAGAGTGAAGCCATGAAAGTCGAAGCATGAAGCGGCGAGGGACAACTGTACGCCCATCTCTACACAGCCCAGACCTACAGCCAATCCATAGTTAATATGTACTATGAGCAAGATATAAACCTTTGTTGTGATAAGCTACTGGCATCTGGGGCTTATTTTTTTGGTACCATAGCATAACTTACTGAAAGTGGACTAACGTAGAAAGCTACCTAAGGACATTTCATACTCTCCCTCTGGTCTTTGTCACACCACAGATAGAATGAAATTTGAAGCTCATTCTTTGCAAGCAACAGTAAAAGAGATAAAAAAAATTATGCCATGGGTTATTGTATTATTTGGTGGGATAACACATGGAGAGCACCTAGGACTGTGTGAGCTCCTCCTACCACAAATCTTTCCCTTCCTATTTTATCCCCACTTCCACGGTAGAGGTGGGAAACCACAAACAAGTGTCTACTAGGGTCTTGACATTTTTCCATACTTGTGATATGAACAGGTCATATACAGTCCCTCCCTTAAGAAGCTTGTAGTCTAACTCCTCATAGGAAAATGAACCATGTTCATACTTACTTCCTCATATATTAAAGTAAGTTTCCAGCATCCAAGTGGAAAGTTAGCAAATGTGATGAGGATGTGTCTTGGAGCTGGAGACAAGCCATTGCTCATTTTTCCCTCTCTCCACCACAGTCAACCACCCCCCCCCTTCCTACACACACACTACAACCACCCCCACCTCCAGCTCATATTCCCTGATCCTCCAGCTGGTTTAGATTGCCCTCCTCTGTGCTCCCACAGCACCCTGAGCTCCCCACTTCTCCCAACATTACTCTGGATTGGATTTACTAGTTTATGAATCAGGCTTTCCACTGGATCCCAGGGTCTGTAAAAGAAGTTATAGAAGCTGGCTCGTGCCTGATTCAGGATGGGTGTTAACCAACATTAATTGAATGAATGAATAAATGTGATCAATTAATTCCTTCATAATGACTTTCGAGTTCTCACTGCAAGTTGATGAATTTGTTATGTCATATGCCTGGGGCTCCACTCAGTCTTTATAGATGTTTTCAATGGACAAGGAATCCTTCATTACGAAATTGGCATGTGATTTACATCTACCTACAATCTTAAAGCACTCATAGATTCCCATGGAAATGCAGGTGAACAAGCCACAAATTGAATTACCAGCTCCTAATTATGCAGATGTTGACTTTCATTAATATTGGTAAAATGTATCCCAGAAGTTAACTAATAGCTTGAGAAGGTAGGGTATTCTGAGGCATGTTCAGGAACATTTCCAAGTCTCATATTTCTATCTACAGTTGCTTATAGTATAGTAACCAAAGAATAGGCAGGCTGATTTCAAAAACAAGAAAAAACCCAGAATGAACTGAAATTTCCTTCATCTTCTGGAAGGACTCCAGAATTTTCAGTGTCCTTACAGGCTCCTGAGATAGCTAAAAAAAACTTTGATCCTATGAGGTTATTTTTAAAGATGAGGAATTATTCTTGTTCTGTTTATTTTTATATAACACCTCTATCATCAAATACATTTCAAAACGATGACTTGAAAGCACCGTCTTTTTTTTTGGTAGAAAAACATCTTTCCATCCCATCCCTGTTAAGTTTTAGTCCATTTAAGTCTTTTCTCTTAATGTAGTAGGATGAATAGAAGCAAATTACAATTCAAGACTATACTTTGCCAACCTTCCTTTCTCTTGTTCAGTGAAATTCCCCTTCACACCCATCACTCAGCCCCTGCTGACGCTGAGGCGTTCCCAAAGGCAGTAAGAAGGGCACATGTGTCTGTTTTCTGAATTGAAGTAAGATTTCATTTGTTTTATAATCGCCAAGGTACCTGTGGGGGCGGGGGGGGGGGAGATCCTTCTCAATTCAACCATAAGCCTACACACAAAAGAAAGACAAGTGTGAGGCAGGAATTTGAGGGAACAACATGAGTGTCTGCAGAGGTTCCAAGGTTCTTTCAACCCAAAGATTGTATTAGGCTGTCTACAGGTCATTTTGTCTGCATAAGAATTTCTATTTCATTTTATGACTTGCCACCTCTTCTCTCCCATATGCCAAAATTGTAGTTCAAATAATCTGAATTTTCAAAAAAAAAAAAAAAAAATCAGGGAATCTATCTATGTAAAGCTTCAGGGTTTCAGAGCCACCCAAGCTCCTAACAGGAAGTAACCAAGGGCCCCCAGATGAACCGTGGGGAAGCATCATCAGCAGTGCCAGGGTTCTGTAAGACCCCGCCCAAGCTACCTTCTCTGGCCTTGCAGCGGGTGGATACTCCTGGAACAGTAGGAAGAGCATGAAGCCCTCAGCCAACCTGAAATAGCAGTCCTGACCACCCCACCGCACCCCTTCTTCTTTTCTCCTCTGCGCCCTTTTGCTTTCCCCCTCCCCAATTTTCCTCCACTTCTTACTCACGTCCTTCTTCCCATCCCTCTCCTTAAAGCATCCAGGGGAGGTTCACGGTAATTTCCCCCTCGAGGAAAGTTTGCCTGAGGTGCTGCAAGGGCAAAGTGCAAACCTGCCAGCTCTTCGCTCTCCCCGACCCAAGCTGGCCCCAGAGAGGGGAAAGGAGTCTACTTCTCTTTGCACTAACTGGCCCTTTCTCTGCCTGAGCCCTCGTCACAACAGTGGGCTCCAGAGGGATGACCCTTTGTCCACACTTTCGTACGCCAGGTTTATAGCGTGGACAGCGCTGCCCTCTAGCGTTTCCAACCGGGAGTCCTGAGGGCGCCATCAGCTCCAGAATTTCTCTTTTACAGCCTAAGCAAGACCTGAAGCTCCGACCTCCAGTTCTCCTCCACCACCCCCATCCTCACTGAGTCCCGGCTCACCTTTTCATCCCACCCGCCCCTTCTCCGTTTAGTGGTGACCTGGGTAGCTGCAACCTGCCGGTTGATTTACTAGACTGGCCCCTGCTCCTGCTCCTCCTCCTCTTCCCGGCTCTCACCGCCTCTTCCAGTCGGGGCGCCCAGACTTCGCGAAGCGCAGCGCCTGCCGCCCTGTGCGCCTCGCTCTGGGCTCCGTCTCGCCGCAGCCCAGGGGCACCAGCGCCGGCAAAGGACGCTGGAGGGACAGTGCCCCGAGACAGCGTACCTGAGTCGGATGTTGTGAGAGTGGTGCTTTGATAAAGCTCGGGAGAAAAAGGAGAGGGTTTGGAGTGAGACTTCTGGAGCCAGTGGAACGCCCCAGTTCGCCCAGTGCGACGCGGCTGCACGCACCGTCCACAAGGTGAGGGGCGCACGTCTTCCCAGGCGACCGGGGCCACCCTGCTACCCCTACCCCAGATCCGGGGCTCAAGGTCTGCCTTGGGGGATTTTTTGCTCTCTCTGGGGCGCAAAGGCGGCGGGATTGGGGCAGGGGCAGGAGACAACGGGGGGTCTCCTGGGCACGGTGCCAGCCCGGATCTCTTAATAAGCAATGCATTTCTCCGTCAAACAATCTCCCTAACTGGGTGAACCTGAATGTCGACATTGTGTAGAACTGTGGTTTACGGGTTTTATCCTGCGTCCTTGCAAAAGGATTTGAAGAGGCTTTAAAATTAAATAAATGTGAAAGGGATTCCAGTAGGAAAAACTTGAGTGGTAGGCACGCGGAGAGGGGTGTGCTTCGGCGACCGCTGGAGGACCAGGCGATTTCAAAGCCAACGCTGATTGAAAAGCCTCGGATTAGAAAGGACGGCACGGTTGCTCCAGCCCTCACAAAATAATGATGTTCTTAGTGCTGGTAAAGAAAATGCTCAGGTGGGGGATGTAATGGGGCTGGCTCGTTTTCTTACATTACAGAATAAAGCTTGAACGTGCAAGTTAAGAAGGGAAGTTGTGTCTTAAGCTATTTCCCCTCAAGAAATACTGCAAGGTGAGAGACTGGCTCCTTCCTAGTGCAAATGAAAGGGAATTGAGGCAAAAATGGTTTTGCAATGTTGAAATATGTTTGTATATCTTTGTCTGCGTCCCGATTTGGATAGGACCTTGTATTCGACCCAACCCTGCTTGTCCTTGAGTTGGAAGGATGAGGTGGAGGGTGTGGGCATCCCAGGGAGCTTCTTCTTAACCTTCCTCATTGTCCTTCCCTGACTCCTGCGCCAAACCTCTGAACCCAGGGGGAAATAATAGATGGAAAAATGGTTTGGGGGATGGGTGTTTTTCCCAAATTATTTAGGGTTCTCCTACCATTCTTCCTTTATCCCCAGCTCCAATCAGTATATGTTCCTGGTCTGAACCTGACATTGTTCTAGAATACCTATTTGCCATTAGTGACACATTCAGACATAATATGCATGAGCTTAAACACCCAGGGTGGGCTTGTGAATCTGGGGCTTACCTGAGTTAACCTTATTCATGGGGCAAGAAGGGGCCTGGGTCTGGCTCCCTGTGCCCCCTCTTCCATGGGGGAGCATATTTGAAATCCGTTTGAAATACATGTTTCAAATGCAAAGAGGAGATTATGAGCCAGCCTTTCTTCTCTTGCTGGTGCACTTGTATTCCTGCTGAAGAAAATGGCATGAGCTTGTCTTCAACAAATACATGACTGGAGGCAGGTGAGGCCCATTTAGCAATTTCAAAAACTATGTCTGCCTGCCTTTTTGCTCCCTTTAGAACTTTAGCCCTCAGACCACAGATCTCTGAAAATGAAGCGGACCACATATGTGGGATTCAGCTCAATTTCTGTATCATGTTTAAAGCAAAGTATGCTCCTTATTTCTGAAATTGCATCACAACTAACCATTTTGCTGCCTATAGGTGGGAGAAGTGCTTCTGCTCAGATATTTCATCACTAGAGAGCTATCCAGAGAAACCCCTTCAAATCCTGATTCATCATTGTTGATAGAACTTACCCTTTATATTCTCATTGCCCGATATGGGCTGGTGAAGCCCAAAGATTGCTACAGATCACTGTATAAATTGAGACTTGTGATGATAGAGCTGGAAAGGAGCTCAAGAAATAATTTAGTCAAGACTCTGGTCATCAGAGTATTGGTGTATGCATGCCTCAGTATTCTTTTAGGTGGTCATTGTTCCTTTCATAAAGATTTCCAGTGATGAAGACTTTACAGATTATTTTTATATTAAAAAGCACTCAAATTAACCATTTATATCCACCAGCTGGCAAGTTTAAAACTCTGCAGAAATCAACATCACAAACATAGTAAACTCAAGTTTTCATTCTTTTCTTTTCTCTTGCCCATGGTGGCTTTACTCGGGGTTATATACCCAGACCAAGGGCTCTTGGATATCCTCCTGGACACTACTATTCCTTTGAGTACGTGTTGAGACATGAGTCACAGTCTCTCTTGCAACTCACCCTGATATCACCTTTGTTAGTTATTGTGGTATCTATTCAAAACATTTGCTCCTCATTTCTTTTTATTGATGTTTGGTCAACATTGATCATGTAAATGAATTTCTGCTCTTTGGAGGAAAATAGCCAAGTGCAGATTTCTCAGAAAGGGTGTTTAGGAAGAGATAACATGCAAGACACCTCTCTAGCCCAGGTAGTACTGCAGTATGTTCCCACTCTTTGGTGTTTGATGAGATTATTATTGGAGAGCAAAGTGAGCTGCATCCCTAGTAGTGCCTCATCTCCACCTGGCTCAAGCTCCTCTCTATCAACATATTACACCACCACCACCACCACCACCACCACCACCACCACCACCAAGGCTTTAAATTCAAAGTAGATCCCTTTTCAGAAAACCTCAGGTCCTGACCCGTTAGGTCATCTTCTCATTACTCAAACATCTTATTCTCTAGTCCTCACCTTTATACTCAGGTCATTTTTTCCTTTTTTTTTTTTTTTTAACGCTTCTGTGGTTCTTCTTGGAATTTCATTTCTATGCTACTCTATAAAAGTAAAAGATTAGCCCTGGCTGGTTTTGGCTCAACGGTTAGAGCGTCAGCCTGCGGTCCAGAGAGACCCGGGTTCAGTTCCCGCTAAGGGCACGTACCTCGGTTGCAGTTTGTCCCCAGCCCTGGTTGGTTGTGCGGGTGGCAACCACTTGATGTGTCCCTTTCACGTTGATGTTTCTCTCTCTCTCTCTCTCTCTCTCTCTCTTCCTATCTCTCCCTCAAACTCTATCTGAACAAAAAATGGAAAAATGTCCTCGGGTGAGAATAAAAAAATAATAATAAAAGTAAAAGATTAAATCTAATACTATAATATGGGGAGGCCTTCCCTCTGTTTCTATTGACTTATTTACATAAGAAAATAAGCCTGAGGCTACTCAAGAGGTAAATTTTAACCAAATAGGGATTTATTGTTCATACCATATGTTATCAAGGCCATCTCAGGTCAGAGGTGAATCTGGGCATCTCATGCTTTATGCTTCTTTCTTATTCACCGCCTACATTTTTATACATGTGGAATTATATGAACATAAAATTCAGGGAAACACTGAAGATGAGTAGGCTAAATGGGGGAGGGGGATATGAATGGATAAGGAAGAGAAAAGGGTACAGTCAGGCAGCAGCTCTTGAGAGTGGCTGATGTCTTTGTTTCCTCCTCCCTGTGGGCCCTAAAACTTGGGACCCCGGTGAGTCAACTTACCAAAGTTCATCTTCCTGGGAATAAAAGGACTTTCAAGAGTATCCAATCTACTTTTCATAATTTGGTATACCTTTCCACATTTTGTGAGTTGAGAAACTGAGAACCAGAATATATAAAGATTATTCAGTCAATTGGCATGTTTCTGGATCACAACAAATTGGTAAAATCCTTGAGAATTCTAATACAGTTCAATTCTAATTTTAGTAGTTCTTTTTTTTTGGTCTCACTTACTGTGGATTACTGATTTCCTTATTCACTGTGGTCCTTGTCCTAATAGATGTCAGTACATTTTTCATGGTCATGTTCCCCTAAGACATGTGAAATGAAAAATACAATAGTCAGCAGAACATGTGTAATAGGTTTATTGTTAGAACTCTCTCCTGTTGATCAATTCTCAACACATTCAGTTGTAGGATTAGGAAGACAAAATCCTTTAGAAGAACCTGTAAATATCCAATCTGGATCAATTTAAACTACAAGCTGTACAAGAAATGAGCATCTCAACATTTTGGTTATCAGTACAGACCACATGGAAGGTCTTTATGAAATCTAGCATGAGAAGAAAAGCATTTTTATAGCAAGATCAGGTTTTGAAAAATAGCAACCAGTAGCAGCATCAGCTTACAGTTTTAAATTCACAGATTCTTCTATGACCCCATCTACCTAAAGTGCCCAAATAAAGCAAAAATGGACCCCATGAAATATATTTCCATAGCTACAGCTGTTCTTCATCCTTTCATCAGATAATTGGAAGGCATGTGGTGATATTTCCAACGGATTTGGGAAAGGTCTGACTTGAACGTTAAATATGGTTTTTGTTGAGACAGTTCACCCAGACAGTTCACACAGACAGTTTATCTGTGTCAAGATTTGTATTCTTGGGCATCAAAGACAAGCCAGAGTGTCTTTGGGGAATAAACTGCACCAGATAGATAGTGAGATAAGCAATACTTTCCAGAAAGTGAGTTCAGCTACAGTACCCTAATAGTGTTCAAAGGTATTGTAAGTCCATTCATCTGCACTGGGAGGTGGGAAATAGCAGGAAGGAACTAACACATGATGAGTGTCCACTGTGCTTCAGGAACTATGCTAAGAACGGCACATGTATTCTTTTATTTAATCCTCACAAAAGCATTGCAGGGTAGGCATGACCATCCCCACAATTTATTCATTCATTAGAAACCTGTACTTGTCATCCAAACACCTGACCTGCCATCCTTTTCAGGGAGCTAAAAACAAGCCAGTGAGTGAAGTGAGCACACACAAAGGGATTAGCTAAAGAAAAGTTTTGAGAAGTGTGCTGGTCATTAAGGGGATGTGACTCTGGACTTCACCCTGTAGACCTCCAGGAATCATTATAGGATTTTAAATTGTATTTATTAAGATTAATGTACATATAAGAAAATGTGAAAATTATAAATGTTAAGCTCGACAACTTTTCCTAAAGTGAATACACCCTTGTAGCTAACCACCCCAAAGATAAGAAATGAAACAGCATCATTGCACAAGTTCCCTTCCTGTCCCCACCAAATCATTGCTGTAGCCTGTTCCCTGAATGTAACCACCACCTCCATTCCAGCATCCTAGATTACTTTGAGTTTTATATACATGCCAGTTGTACAGAATGATCTCTTCGGTGATTTGGCTCAGTGTTATATGCATGAGGTTTATTTACACGTGTGGTT